CACTGCACTCTGATTTTGCTACTGTGTTGGCCTTCCTAAGGAGATGAACCCTTCCTCACAAGCTGACACACAAACTGACACACCACACACCCTGCTCACTCATGCTCCCCGGAGCCATTTAAATCTGTTGCAGTTGCTCCTGGCAACACACACACCCTTGTGAGTGCTGTGGGTTTCTGCAGGTACCTCAGCTGTTATTTGTGTTTCCCTGACTCTGGGAGACCCTGTCCATCTCGTTTTAGTGCTTTACCCCCATGACTTCCCATAGCCACTGCTGCTGTTGCAGCTCACTTTGCCACCTGACTCAGGACATCCTTCTCAACCTGTCTTCTTGTGATTCTGTAACATTAACAGATGCTAAATGGGACAGACAGAAACATACACTGTAATCTTCCTTATCCAACCATTGTGTGTGCTGGGGACAACATGGGGAGAGCAGCCTGTAAAAAAGTAGTTGGGATCTTCTTGAAAAAAACATTTCCTAGTTTCTCTTGTCACAGACAAACATCTCCTAGTTTCTCCTAGTCCTGTCGCAAGTGGTCTCACCCTGTAGCCCATTTCTTATGATAATAACCACTGGATGCTAGATGAATGCTGAAATGCTCATAAGTGTCCTTGTAAAGAGGAGCAAGTGAATTTTTTTCTCTGAATTTCGGAGTGAGGTCTATGTTAGCTTACTTATTTAATTGAAGGAACTCTATGGACTGATATGTGCTACATTCATACTGATGAATCTACACATAGACTTTTTCATTTTACATATACATTCATTCCTCTTTTGTCTAGTTTCAGGCCTTTCATTTTCATTACACCTGCTCAACTGTTGCTCTTTCTCCATTTCTTTCTACGTCTGCCCCTTATTTTCAGATTCCTCTGTCCTATCCTCAGCTACAACATTTCCCCTATGCTGCTTACAAGTCCTTTTATTCACCTCCTGCCTGGGTGGTGCCCAGCTGCTGCATGCTTTGGCAGCAACTGCTAACTAGCGCCAGGATGGGCTCACCAGGTAACAGCTGGATACAACCTGATAATAGCACAAGGCTATCAGCTCCCAGAATGAGATTTCTTTGGCACCAGCTGCTCCAAGTTTCCTTGGACATCTCGCTCCAGCTACTCGCCACCCTCAGCCACACATATACACACACATTCAATCCTTTATGGATTAGCTCAGCGGGAAACCCAAGCCTGAGAAAAGTACTTGTTACATTTGTCTGACCTGGTTTGGGATGACTTGGTTGCCCTCGCTTTTACTTCTCTGTTAAATGGGACAAGGATATGAAGAATCCAGGCTACTGTGTTTCCGACATACTTTGCTCTGGTTAGAGAAACTCTAGATTGGGAACACCTCTCCTAATGTAACGAGAATAATATTTTCTCATTATTGCTATTCCTTGTAGACGAAAAATTAAGGGCAATGAAGTCCTTATGCAGGGCATTACAGAAGTGTCACTAATACAATTGACCCTAGCTTTCAATTAATTAGGTTTTTCATTTTTTTTCCCAAGTGAATATAACTATTTCCTACTCTCCATAATCTCTCTCTCTCTGTCAGTAGCTTGGAAAAATCTCTGGAAAGTCCAGGCAACATTTAAAAAGCTAATTTACCAACAAGATAATACTTGACTACAGGCTTTCACACGTACACTTTGTTTCATAGTAGGTCTACAATAGCTTGACTTAAGTTGTCTGTTGTAAAGGAAACTCTACTTGTTGTGGAAGGTGCATCTTACTATATCTTCACAGATTAAGAACTGACCTAAAGCAATTTCCCAAGAATTTGTACAGTGTAATTGAAATGGTATAGAGTACCAGAACGTTGAGGTAAGGGCCACAGTTTTCTTCACCACCTGGGATCATCACCCTGTTCCTTTTCATGACTTCTAACAGCCTGCCAGCCTTGGCAGATGCTTGCTTTATCTAAAATCCTTCTAATAAATACTGACTGCAGTTATTCCTAGAGGCAGCTGGTTAAGCAGAGAACACAGAAGAACTGTCATGTTTTTGCTGTTCATGTATTTGCAGAAGCCTTTTGCAGGCAACAAGGCCAGAGCTTGGCAGTGACATGCAAGAGATATTTGTGTTGAATCTTCAGTTGAGGTCCCAGGGAGACCTTATGCTCCCTTAGGATAGGAGGTGAGGGGGAAAAAACAACTAAGCTGTCAACTTTTGGTCTCTCCTTTTTGCCCCCTCACTACTTTGGTGACTGTCATTAACCATAAGCTCTACTGTCCTGCCAGACTTTTGTATTTTAGGGGGTGGGAGAGTGAGAAATAATGAAAAGGCTGCCTGTGTTCTGTTATTTGTCATGGTAATAAATATTTCCCATATCAAGGTTGAACAGCACCAATGGGACACACCTGTGTCCCACTTACTAGCTGTGATCTGTGCTAATTGAGCAAGTACTTCCTCCACTGAAAGACAATGGAAAATAATGAAACGAAGATGGATAAATTCAAATGTGCCTCTCCAGAGAGGTGCAATCAGTGTTGTTTCACATTCCTTTAATACCTGGCAGTCTCAGATGTTCTAATTCTGAATTTTCCCATTTGATAACAAAATTGTCTCTTGTTCATGCTTCAGCCTTTTACCCGTATTCAGTTCTACAAGGAAGACCAAAACCTTGTTTCTGGAGCAGGAGGAGTTAAAACAGTTTGACAGCCTTATAAATTGACAGTGCATCTTTCTTAAGTAGCAATGAATCTTAATGAAAGTCTTCTCATAAAATTATTATCACAGCAGAAAATAAAGGTCTCAACTGATATTAGGTCCCTATTGTGCCAGGCAGTGTATGAACATATTAGGACAGAATGGATTATTGGTGAGGAATTTAAAACCTCATTAGATAAGACAGAAAGAAGCTATGGCAGGAATAAGGGTCCCACAGGGTAAAGAAAAAGACCCTTGCCACAGAAAAGCCACATGGTACAGCCTGGAATAAAGTGTCGGGTTCTTGTCACCCTGGTAGCCCTAGAGCAGAAAGGCATTCATATCTAGGAGCTCAGAACCAGTTTACTTCTGTTGCTTGAGGTCAAGATTTGAGATTTTTCGTTTTTTTTCAAACACAAATTCCAGTCCTGCACAATTGAAGCCCTGAGCCTGACCTCGGGCACCCTATCACCATGCACTAGGATGCAAGATTGGATAGAGGTGGGCTGTGCATCCATCACAGGTCAACCCTATGTTTAAAGCAGCTGTGCCCATATTGTTTGACTGTCACACCCCCTCTTTTGAGCCCTGCCTTCTTCTAAGTCTGTGTCAAATCTTCTTTGGACTTGAAAAGGCTGAATTCCCTAGATAGTATTTTTCTTGGAGTCTATTGGCAGCCTTGACAATAAGGAAACAGATGTATTAACATGCCAGAGAAGTGCTGATGTTTATTCATCAGATGCCTGATAAAACAACTAATGGGAGCCTTTGGCAGGGTACCTTAGGTAGATTTCCTTATTATGTCACCAGATTTTATACTTTCTAGCAAAATCAATATTTGAGCTGGTGCGCAATGCAGCCTCTTTTAGCTTTAGGGTTTAAAGATTTACGGGGCATCAGGGAAAACCAGTGAAGGCAAAGGAATGACAAAAGAAGTAAAATCCAAATGACAGAAATTGCTACTAGGCAAAAGCAGTCATTAGGTTTTGAATTTTCTGTCTTTATTAGGGAACCATTTTTAATTTACCTTCCCCTGCCTGTCCCACTCCTTTCCTCTGTCCTGCTTTGTTAAGGCTGCATATTGCCCTTGCACTTCAGATAGCATGACAAGAGCAAAGGAAATGCTGAGCCTTTAACAGAGAGTTTCAAGCATCAGTTTTAGGTTTCTGCAGGCAAGAGATACTGAAAGAGCACCAGAGAGTAAGGAAAAGAACACTGCTGTAACCCTATGCATCTTCTTTCCCATAGCTTGTCTGATCTATATTGCATAGAACTTTGTGGACCCCCATCAGTCCTGCGAAACAGAGCCAATGGTTCTACCTGCTTCAGTTTTAGAGATGTAACATAGGGAAGAAAATATCTTTTTCCTGAAATACTTCCATTTCTTTCTTATTATTTTTTGCTTTTATGTTTTCATCAGAAGTCCTGCAGTGGTCAGTTTTCTTCAGATTTCAAATTTGAAACTGCTTAGTTACGGGTGATGAAGAAATGAGGCTGCACACATGGAATTCGATTTTATGATTTCTCTGCAGATATCTCTCTGCATTTCCCCTTTATTAGGATTCTTTTGTAAACAGCACCTGGTGGTGTCTTTTAGTTAACCAGAATTCCCAGGATCTTGCTAAACTGGTGTTTTAATGCCACACATTCGTTCTTGTATCATATTGTGACTGTTTTCAGCCATGAGAAAACCATGCAGACCATGCAGACCATTAAGTGGTGTTCCGCTTTGAGAACACAGCACTCTGTCAAAACACCAGTCAAGGTCGATCCGACCTTTTTGTTTCTAATTAACTAGATGCAGGGAGGCTAACTCAGCTTGTTCCCACATCTTAGTGCTAGTGTTTTTCACAAGTAATGTAGCCCCCCTTCCCCAAGATATGACCCTGCAAGCTAATTCATATGATTTCATCTAGATAGAGCAATTATGATACTCGGTCAGATATGTTATTATTTAATCAATTTTGTGGAGTCATCATTAAGATTCCCACCATATTTGCTTATGACTGCCCCAAAGGGAAATAAATGATAGAGTTTAAAAAGTTGGTAACGTGAGGTCAAGTGGGTACACAGCTGGCTGCCATGCTCACCAGTGCTACTCTTGGACTTTCCTGATCACAAAATTACTGTGTGTTTTCTTTTCTCTCTCATCTTCAATAGCAGCATTATGAGCCTTAGTTCAGCCATCCTTGTAATGTGATTGGAGAAGTTAGGAAGCGAAATAACACTTGTGTTCTAGGATTAGTCAGAAGATTTTCCCATTGCTTAGTGTGTTTTTTAATTGCTATAAAGTCGCTGTTAAAGTCGGGGACAGCCAATGCGACATAGAATCTTCTTCCAAAGCAGGGACAGGATTACAAGAAGTCTATAATCACTTTACTGTAACAGGTTGCAAACATTTATACTTTTCACATATCACACTTGTCAACTTTTTATTGGTATCTTCATATAAACTTAGGCTATACACATGTCATCCTGCTATTGGTACACACAGATCAGGCCACACACATGTCACTTTCTATTGGTATACATACATCAGGCCATAAGGCCACCCACATGTCAACCTGCCATTGGTACTTTCATGTATGCACACACCAGGATTGGTTGCAAAATAGTAAACACAGCTTTTGTCGAGTCATCTTGACTTGTAAAAAGTACAGGAAGTCCATTTCTGTCCTCCATCTTCTTCCTTTCTGAAAGTTGCCCATGTTCTTCTGCATGCTGTGTTCTCCTCCTTTCAGGGGTATACTGTAATCCGGTATGTCCACTGCTTCTTCAATAAATGCCAGGCTGCTGACAGGCTTGCTGTCAACCCTGACACTATAAGGCTGCAGCTTAACAATTAAAACAACATTGAAGGCTTGAGTAGTTTTCTAGCTATACATGCAAACACATTCACAGTAACGATATTTGTGAGTATGTAAGTGTTGCATATCGGAGAAGCCTATCCCATCCATGTGTTGCATGAAATTATTTTATATTTAAAATGAAATGAGGAGCTGGACTGCACATAGCAATCTAGAGGTAATTCAAACAGTTTTGTTAGCAAGAGTCATATTCAGTCCTCATTGAGAATATAAATTGTAGAATTCAAATGGCACCAGAGGTCCTGTATGAACAGCTGCCACCTGCCAATAGCATCTTCTGTACACATGGACATAAGATGGGCCAATAGTAATTGCAGCATCACATACCTTCAGAGCTTTTATGCATCATGTTGAAGTGACTTGCAAAAAGCAGGAATCACTGGTAGGGCTGAGGCAAGGAAGCTTCATAGTCATTCTTTCCTCCAGTAGGCCTTCAGCACTTTTTGTATGTCTTTAACCATTCTCTTTATTTGCTTTCCTCCACAAACTGATGCATAATATCTGCAAGTGCAGTTTCTAAGCCAGTAGAAGGAGAAAATATTATGACAAATTTATTGCTTATTCCACCAAAAATTCCATTTTCCATTTGCATGTTGCCTGAACATACTATCATAATCACAAATCTTGACATATGAACTCTAAAATACTTGTTAGTGTGGAAATAGTGTACAGATCCCATGCTGGGTCTCAAGAAAGGGGCAAATTTCAACCAGTAAAATTCATGGCCCAGCAGGCTGTAGAAGATTTTGTTAGTTCCTATGTTGTGTACCTCTCTCCACCAATAATTTTATTACCCTGAACATCTGTGGAAACGTGGAGGTGCAAGGAGCCTCGAGGCTGCTCAGCATGTTTGACTCCATTTTCTCTTTAAACATGTGTAAATGCTATTTCTATTTGCACCTTTGCAGAGCTGTGATTTGCAACACCAAAGCCTAAATGGCACCTAAGATCCCTTCAGAGCATCAAACAAACAAGACAGTAGGACATCTCACAGTCTGGGAAGCTCTAAATTGAAAACTGCACTACTTTGAAAATGAACCAGTTGATTTCTTTGCTGTTATCCAAACTTGAGAGGGTTTTTCTGCATGAATCCAGGCTCTGCCTGCTCCCCAGAAAACTGAACCAGGATTCTGATTCCAGGCTTATAATGTAGAAAACCCTGTGTTTCTCATCTCGTTTTGGTCTTAATTGGATTTATATGAAGCAAATATAAAAAGGAGGAGGAAAGCTAAGAGACTTTGCACAGTAATAGTTTGACAGTTTAACATTTTGTACACTGTCAATGAGCTTCTGATTTGATACAGAGGGTAGATACCAGCCTTACAAAATTAATCAGAAGCAGTTAGTAGCAAGTTAAAATTTAGAATGTAGCTAGGACTATATAAGGTACTTTGGACATGAAATTTAGTATTGGTTGAATGACTACTGAAATAACTAACTATAAGGAGAATATCTTCTAGTAGCATTTCCTGGACTATCTGCAAGTTCTTGTTTCTTCTCAGAAAATAAGCCCTCTCCTCTTCTTTTTAAATGGCTTTACAAAGAGCAGCCCTATCCCACATGATTGCCAATAGGAGCATAGTAAGTTTAGTAATCACAGAATAGCAAAATATTTAACACCTCTCTTCAAAACATCCTTTAAAAATGCCTGTTTTTCCAGTCAGTCATGGCAAATGAAACTGCCGTGATCAGAACTTTCTATAATGCAATATTTTGTTCATTTTCTTCTGTCACATGCCATGCATTTAAAGAAAAAGGCCACAATTATTAAAAAAAAATCTGTAAGTTTGTCGTCCATCAGTCTTTTCCTTCTGCTGAATCATTAACTAAAGAATTTTGGAAAGATTTCTTCATCTGGAAAAAAAAAAAAAAAAGATGTTTTCTTTGTATGTTTAGAGAATGACCAAGATCAGTCTTAAAAAGAAATGGGTATGAAAGATGACAAAACATTATCTCAAATATTTCGATTTCTTGTTCCTCACTGTCTGTGGGTCTCATTCTTTGAATTGTGTGCTAAGAAACCTGATTCTGCTTGATAATATCAGTGGTAGTATCAACATAAAACAATAAAGTAGTATAAGACTACAATAAAAAGCATTCCCTCCCATGGTGTTTACATGAGGTTTATGCAGAATTTAACCCTAAATTTTTGATTTCTGAGAATGATCATTCCTTTAAAAATCAGGACACATGTTTAGATGGAAGAGACCGTTAACTTATAAGGGAGCTATCTAATATATTTTCTAGGTTTATTTTGTATTAAAAAAGGCAGACTTTTTTTCTGGTTACATGGTAAGATCAGATCAGTCAGAAATGCTGACTTGAAATTTCTTCAGAAAAACAACAAACCTTCCAATTCACTGCCTTTACTGTCCTTGAAAAATTGATTAATTGTGTCTACAATTTGAATCCATAAATTACTAATTTCACAGGATGTGATAGGGTTGAAAATATTGATTAGTCAAACAGTTGCATTCAAAGTTCAAGCAAGCCACACGCAACCCCTATATTTATGTGTTCTTCTCTCTGGATCATCTAGATGATTGCCACAGTTTACTGAGAAATATCAAGGCAGGTCCAGTCTCAGTTCCACTTTTGTTGCCTCTGCAGACTGACAGTGCCCTGAAACACTGGCTTCGTCCCTTCAAGAAATGCACAACTGAGAAGGAAATGGTCCTCATCTAGACTGTGGCAATGAGACAAAATAGTAAAATTGCACTGCAGATCGGCGATCTCTTCCACTTAAAACCTTGAGGCTGAGACCTCTCTTTATTTTGTGTATGAATGTCTTAAAGTCCATTTTTGCTTGTGAGTGTCCTTTTATTTCCTTTTTTACTGGTAGAGAGCTTCTGTGGGGCAGGCTTGGCTGAATTTGGCTCAAGTGTTATCCTGATAGGAAACTGTTGTGGTTGCCCCTGGCTGTGGGGCAGAGAGGGAGCCTGTTGCTGTCATGTTTTTGCTAGGAGCTCTTCTGTGCACCATTTTTGAGCACCTACTTCGAGGATGCACAGTGTTAGCAGCATCTGGAAACACTTGTTTATTCTGGGTTTTTCTTTCTTCCTTCCAGTCAAAGGAAAGAAAGCTCAGAAAACAGATGGGATTGTTCTGCTAGTAATTTGTCCAGCTGCTGCAGAGAAAATAGAAGGAAAAGCATATTGCAGTAATAAAAATATAATAAATGGAATCAAGCAGGATACACAAGAGTATATGAAGCATGCCTGCTTCTGCTTAGTCTGAAGAAGACATGGAATATCTGGCAACTAATATGTTGTCATAAAAATGAGGAGAAAAGCCTAAAAGACATTTTATTCCAACAGATAGATCTAACTGCCTAATGGAAAATGTGCTAACAGACTTCAATCTGGTTATTTGTTAGACACCAGATCGGTAACTGTTGGGTTGGAACCACCTTGAGGGGGGGTGTAAGGGTGTGGGGGTGTGTGTGGGGGGGGGGGGGTTGGTGTATGCCGAGGGGGAAGGGACGGGTCAAACCTCATGGAGGTGAGATGGCAACATATTCCTCATAGCAGGCCCCTGGAACCCACATGGGGAAGCCCCAGAGCAGCTGTGAGTCAAAAGCAGCCCAGGAAAACTTCAACACACTGCACCTCCTGGAGCCCCTAACCCAGCCTCGGATTGTCAGGGACAGTGAGATAACTGCCCCTCACCCTGGCCTGGAGCCCCAGAATGGCTAGTGGGTCAGAGGATCTGCCGGGGGGGGGGGGGGGGGTTGCCTACAAGGACCAGAGCAGATAAAACCAAAGGCATATGCTCCCCATGTGGTCGTGACCCTGCCATCTGAACACGTGAGAGCTGGTCTTCCACAAGGTTCCAATGATAGCTATTTAATCAGTCTCTCCTTCTTTCTCCTTCCTCTCTCTTCTTGATCCCTTTTCTTCTCTTTCTTTGCTCCTTTCTTGATGCTTTGAGTAGCTTAAAGCTGGAGGGATTGGTTTTTCACTTAAGTGTTTTGGATTAATATGTGCTGCGTCAGTATTATGGCAGAACATTTTGTCTAGCTTGTGTGATGCCCTTGAACTTTTGCCAAGTTCCCCTATTTTCTCCCCTGAATTATAGTACCTCTTTGGAACAAGTCCATGTTTTATTCTCTTTCGCTATCTCAAGGTATTCAAGATCCCTATATACATATGTCATGGCCAGTCTTCGCGAACTAAGATTTGGGAAAGGTCATTACCCTTCGAGCCTGCGCAGTGGATTTTTTAGGTGAGACACAGTGTGCGCTGAACTGAGCCCACCCTTTAATCCTAAGGTTCATCTGCCGGGACCAAGTGAGCTCCGACAGTGGCAGCGAGGTCCTCAGGACGTAGGTTTGTTTAGAGTGACCTTCTCTTAGATGGATGGCCTTACAGGGCTGACGAGCTCCATCTGCCCGGAGGAGTTCCCTGATCAGGAATCGAACCTGGGCCGTGGCGGTGAGAACGCCGCATCCTAACCACTAGACCACCAGGGGGCCCCCTATATACATATATTTTAAAGTAAAACCTCTGACTGTGCCCATGAGCTTGTCGCTCTGGGGCTTGGAGTGTTACACCATTGCAATCTTGTCTGGAGCATCTCTCTTACGATGAGAGACTGTGGGAGCTGGGCTTGTTTAGTCCAGAGAAGAGAAGACTGAGAGGGGATCTCGTCAATACATACAAGTATCTCATGGGAGGGTGTCAACCGGATGGTGCCAAGACTCTTTTCAGTGATGCCCAGCAACAGGAAAAGGAGCAATGGCCATAGACTAAAACACAAGAAGTTCCACCTCAACATGAGGAAAAACTTATTTTTATTGAGGTTGGCACAGCACTGGAACCAGGTGTTCAAGGGAGGTATGGAGTCTCCCTCTCTGGAGACATTCAAAACACACCAGGATGCATTCCTGTGTCATCTGCTCTAGGTGACCCTGCCTTGACAGGAGTGTTCAAGTAGCTCTCCAGAGGTCACTTCCAACCCTACCTATGCTGTGACCTTGTGACCCTCTAATCCAAGCCTGTCCGGGAAGAATCAAAGACAAGTCCCCCCAGCCATCATTTGTTTACCCTTCCTTATCAAATAGAGAGCCAGTCTAGAAAAGAACCAGGCCAGTAACCATTTCCCAACAATTATGTAGGCTGACTACCTGTCACCTTTTTCTGAAAATCAAGAACAGGGTAAGATTGAAACACTTTTATTGTCACTTTTCCTGTGTAGTTGAGTTCAAGTAGCATAGCCAAGGAGAAAGAGTGTCAAATAGGATAACTGTAAGTCTTGTATTTGGAAATCCTCCTCTTGGCACTGAAAGAATTTTCAGATGTACATCAGAGTTAACACTTTGAACACTGAATAGCAGGACATATTTTAAACTCTTCCCACATGATCTAAATCAGTGATTGTGCAACATACCGTAAAGGATGCTCTCGCTGACTTGATAAACTTGATTCTTCAACTGAAACTCCAGCTCTGCAACTTCCTGACAAATGGCTCACTGTAAGAGTTGCAGGTATCTGCTTTCCTCCCTGTAGGGACAGCAGTGAAAGCAACTAGAGCGAGCAGTAAACACCCTCCTCTTTCTCAGCCTCAGCACAATGCCTGTATTCCCCTCTGTTGCAGTCTTGTTTTTATTCATGATCTCAGGATACCTTACAAAATAATCAATAACAGTCCTTGTCTGCTTGACTTTCATTTCTTTTATCATCCCAGTTGCAAAATTAAACATGTAGTTGCAGAGCCATGTCAAATATGGACAGGTTTATCACTTCTGATTTATCAGCAATGTAAGGACTTCAAAAATGTCCTAGTTTCAGGCAGCTCTAGACTGAAAGTCCCTAGTAACAAATTGTGAACCTGAAGCTTCTTGGCAATCCCTGTGAATTTGTGTTGAATCCATAGAGAGCTAGTTCAAATTTTCCTGCATTGTCACTGCACTGATCATGAGTACTAAGTACATAGCCTGAACCCAGCACTGACCTGGGACACTGAGCTCCAGCTGACTAAGATATGTTCTTTCATTCTTAATGCTATTAAAAAATAGTATTTCCATGCTAAAAATCTAGCCCAAATCTGTGAAGCATCTTCCCCTTCAGAATGCTCATGTTTAAGAGCCTTGAACACTGTGAGGGGAAGCTGGACTTTCCTCTGAGCAATATCCACATCACAATATATCTATCCTCTGCTGGTGGGATGCCCACACTTGTAACCTCACTGACCAGAACTTATGTAGTAACACAATGATAGCTTTGGATTTAGGTAAGCTTGTTTGGCTGTCATTACCTTCCTTCACATGGCATAGCGCCGGAAAACAGCGCCTGCTGTTTGGTCAGGTGCTGTTCAATCTCATTCAACTTCTTCTGGAAATGCTGGCAGGAGCTCTTCATCACTTCAATTTCATGAAGTGTACACTACACAGAAAACAAAGAAGACCCCTCAACTGTTTTTGTTTGAGCGCTTCCATGTTGAGTGCATTTAAAGCTGACAGCTTGATGGTATGGATCTTCCTCTTACCCACTCAGCAAGATCTCTGTGAAAGTCCAGATGGCACTTCAAGTGAGTTTGCTCTGGGTACATCACTCACATCCTAGTCACCCTAAAGCATATAGGTTTAAGTCCTGGCACTATTTGAGCCAATGAAAATGTAATTTTTGACACTGAAGGGGAAAAGGGCTTTGATCAAATGTCTGACACAATGTACCAAATTCTGATATTATCGCACTGTTACCAGACATTATATTTGAGCAGGATGAATTAAATTTATGGATTAAAGACAGGCTAAATTTCTGTCCACTGGAAGTTGGAGACTGTTTTTAAAATGAGAAAGAGGGAGCAAGGTGTTACAATCTCCTTAAATGCTGCAGAAAGAACTTCAGATTCGGATATTTCCCCCAGTAAAATTAAAACTCACACAAAGTTATCTGCCGATACCAAACCTCGATATTTTTATTTTATTAATTGCTAAGAGATGCAAAGAGAAAGAGGAAAAATTAAGAAAAAATTGGAAAAAGCTAGGATTACTTTTAGAAGCATAGGAAAGTTACCACAAATCTCCCTTTCTGCCGAGCTGGGGGCAGTGGGGAGGGGGGGGAGGAGGAGCAGTTTCTGCCTTTTTTTTTTCCTCTCTCTCTGCCGCTTTTCGATGTAATCTCTTAGCATCTTTTAGCTGCGGGGGGGGGGGGGGGGGGGGGGGGGGAGAAAAAGGGGGGCGGGGAGGGTCTTAGCAGCTTGGTTCTCTGGAATGCAGCTAGGATGTGTAGCTTTGCCGCTTACGTTTGAGCCGTGTCCCAGGCCGTGTAGGGTCCCGATCAGCAGCACCTTTTGGCCCTCAGTAAGGATAGAAGGATAATGTATAACTCAAGCATGTGGGACGATGGGTGTCGGTTCTTCTCCAGGCCGGCAGAATTTCAGTCTCCGGTGGTAGGCAGGCAGCATGCAGTGGCAGAGAAAAGGTGAGGGTGAGGCAGGGAGAAATTCTTGGCTAGAGACTTCTCTCTCCCTTTCCTCTCCCTGATTTTCCAAAATTTTTCCTCAACTTTTATATGGTTTGAAAGAGGTGGTACATGCTTTCTTGGTATGTAGCCTTAGAAAACTCCAACAAGAAACTCTGGTAAGGGGGTCTGGCAGGAAAGCTGACAGAGAATTTTTGGTAGGAAGTTTTGACATGCAGAAACAATGGCAAAACATTATTTTTGGCATTTCTATATTATCTGATTGTTACACGAGAGAAGAGAGGAAAGATAAATAAGAAATATGAAAAGAAAAAGTATCTTTCATGATAGTTCTGCTAAGCGTTACGCTGATAATTTCTCATCTATCACCAGTCAGAAAACTAGAATTGGATTTAACTAACCAAGAGCAGACATTCACCACAACAGATATACATGCAAGTTCTGCAACAGAGCAGTTGTTCTGATCCAAATGTAGACATCTGTAATAGGCCATAGGATCTATGCCATAAATGTCACCATTACTCTTCATTGAGAGAAGGAATCTAGTATGATTTATCATCTACATCCACCCTGATGTAGTCATTTACACTAGGAGTTTCTCAAGCCAGGGGAGATGAATGAGCAGGAATGAACAGGAAATCATATAGGCAAAGTATAGGCAAATTTTCTTTTTACTAATTTGTAGCACAGGACAATGACAGACCTCTACTGACATTGAAATACATCCTGTAACTGGAGTCTGTCAGAGTTTCTAGCCACCTTAAAGACTACTCTTGACTTTTCACACCTTGTTCAGGGCAGTAATGCCAAGAGCCTCACCCAAGTTACTTTGAAGACAGTACCACTTTCTTCCTGAAAGCATGCTTCCCTATCAGACTAAAATTGCTCTGAGTGCAAGAGGGTGTTTGACATGTTCCCATCTTAGCACATTTTGGTGTCTTGTAAACCATGAGAAGACAGTGCAGAAATCCGCATAAACTGACAAAGAGGTATGTTTGCAAAGCATAGAAATGCCCAATCTCTTTAGATTTCTGCAATCATGTCCTTTGATGATCTCTTCATGTTTGTGTGTTTGAATGGTCCCTCAGTTCCAGCAAGGCCTGAAATATGATGAAGTCCTTCCTTCTAGGATATCAGCAGCAGCTGGAGGGCAAAAGATGTTCCCCATGTACTTGAGAAACCTCATTCTCAGTTTCCATTTCAATGCAACTGTTATGTCAGGCACACTCCTTATGTATGTGACTCTGGGACAAACCATCCTGTAGCAGTAAATTAAAAAGTCTAGCCCAAACTACAAAGAGATTGCACCAGAAAGGGCTAATTAGAGACCAACAGTAATCTGATAGAGCCAGTCCTGTGACTGCAGTGGAGGTGAGTTCTTCTGAGTAACACATGTGTAACACATGTGTAACCATGTGTAACACAACTGGTGCTCTTAATGATAGAATCGTAGAATCATTTAGTTTGCATAAGAACTTTGAGAACATCAAGTCCAACCATTAATCCAGCACTGCCATGTCCACCACTAAACTATGTCTCTAAGTGCCACACCTACACAACCTCTAAATATCTCCAGTCATGGTGACTCAACACCCAAAATGTTGGCTAGTTGCCCATTTGCCACCCACACCAAACTTTAATCTTGATCCTCAGACAGTTTTCTTTTTACTAGATGGGGGTGTGTAGGGTACAAATGAGCAGTGCTCACATAGTAATATGATTTTTACTGATTGCCAAAGCCAAGCACAGTTAGGACTTGTAGCCATCAAAAACGTGTGCCAAAATGAGCTTGAAGAGCTCCTATCCTTTGGGTCACCAGGAAGAAGTCGATGGGCCACAGAAAAATTTCTAGGTTGTTCCTCAAGTTTAACAGAAGTCTGGAAAACACCATGCAAAAGGTCCAAAAGGTACAATGTGGGTAGGTTTGGTAAAAAATCATACCAGCCCTTATAGTTAAGGTACAGGCAGCTCTCCTGTGAAAGATGCTCTTTTAGCATATAACAGAGCACAAGTTCACACAGATTAATTTAGGGCTTAGCAGGGATGGAAGGCAGCAACTAACTGTTCCAGGACTACTGTCCTGCAAGGCCTTGTTTAATGTAAGATGCTTGTAAACAGGATAAATTTTCTGTCTAACAGTCGCTCCATGGCAGTTGCATGCCCCATGCATGCCTTTGGTAAATGGGATGTAATCTGAGCAACCTTCTCTCAGTAAAAGATGTAGAAACTACATTACCTGCAATAAAAAGTTGGCATGGGTGTAATCTCAACATAGTGACTAATATTCACTAAATTCACTCACTTATTGCACAGTGACTTGGATATGGAGCTGTATCCCTAAGGATAAATTTTGGAGAATGGTATGGCGCAAACTCTGCTCCTCCCAGATTGCGTGCCCACATACTAGAGAAGTCAAATCACCATTAGCCACCATTAGAAGAATGATAAAACAGTAATGAATCAATGAGAAAGGGCTTCTCAGTCCCACATAAGATACTGACTGCCATCTTCTGGAAACAGCAAGATAGCTGTCAAAACCATATTTTCTAATACACTGTTCAAAGAAAAGACATTGCAGATTTATGTATTCAGTGATGTAGCAGCATAAAATTCACCAGTTTTACTTTCTGAAACTTTTACCTAATCATTTTCTTCCCCAATTTGTACAACAATTCAAGTTTCATTTCCTTATGAAGAGCAAGTAGAAGAGGGAAAATGAAAAGGCCTGCAAACTAGCAGGAGTTATGCTGCTCCTTCCACTCTTTTCTCAGAATGCAAAAGTCACTCCTGACTCCCTTCCTTGTTTTCTTCCCCAGCCTATGCTGAGTCTTTCACAACTTTTAGGAACACTCAGCAAATCTGAACAAAGAAATAAAACACCTGCTGACTTTTTACTAGTGGTATCTTTATTGCAAATATTCATCTTATGGGACATCAGATTTGATGCAAGCTTCTTATTCTACCAGAGTAAAAGGACTTGAGGTTCTGAGAAGTCACAGTTAATTTTGATTTATAGCAGTTTGGCTTATGGTATATATCTGAGTGTTCACAGCTAGTCTTGAATAAGCACTAAGTAATATAACCTAAAGGAGTTATCTTCTATTAGGATTACACTAAATCATGTAACCTTGCATTTTCTGTTATTTATTAATAACAGTCAAGTTATTAATAATGAATTATTAATTATTTATTAATTGAACTCAGCCAATTCACAGAAACTCACTGAAACTAAATTACACCTCTCAGATTATTTGACTGTAAACTTTACCTCCTAGTTCACAGTAACAATTTTAAGATTGAGTTGATATACATAGGTTACTGAGAGAAGCAGCCTAACAAAAGTGAAGGTACACAGATATGTTTGCTGTTTTTTCCCAGAAGGGAATGCTTCTTTCCCCATTCATTTTTGCAACTACATTCCCAAGATACCAAAGAAGCTGTCAAAAAATATTACTACAAAATAGTTGTGGGAAAAACCCCTGTAACTTCTAATGCAAGCATAAGTGAAGTTAGAATTCATCTGCTGACCTGGTCACAACCAGGTGAATGCAGGCAGGTTTGACCTATTTGTAAAGATAAATGTGAAGCATCTGTTCCAACTTCAGTCAGTTATGTCCCACCCATTCATGCACTAGCTAGAGAACTACCCAAAACATGTGATAATGGAAGCTAGGCCAATCTTTAGGCACAAGTTGAGACATTAAAACCTGGATAAAATGTCTGCAGACCAAGTTAATATCACTACAGTTAGGCTACAGAAAGACCTCCATGTGTCTCACTGGATTTGCCCTGGAAGGAGGTGTGATGCTTGCTCTGCTATCATGGCTCTCATTGACAAAACATGCAAGGTATGTAGACAAATCAAGGCTCAATGCACTCTGAAAGGCCATCTACATATATATTTAAAAATACTAATACAATAGGACTAAATAACCGTTTTGAGCACTGTCTCAGTTTAATGAAACTGAAGTGTTTTGCTAAGGAGGATGAGTTATGAGTTAGATCAAGCTCCTCCCTCCAAGCAATTGTAAATCCGAAATTAAGAGGATCCAATTGAGGAAGCATGGAGAAAGGAAAAGATAACAGCCCTTTATTAAAGGATATATGTGTATTGGCAGAACAACAAAAGAACACAAAACCTATTAAACAATAATCCTGCACCCAAATTTCCCTCCAAAAAACCAGTTCAGTACTTTTTGCCTTTTGGCGCAATTCTAACCACGATCAGGAGGGGGCACTGTTGGATCACTGGAGGAGCAGAGCCTGCAGTTCCTCCGTGGAAGTCGGCAGGGGGCGCTGTTGGGCTCTGGCGGTCGCTACATGGGGGCCCAGGTGGGCAGGAGAAGCCAAAATGGAGATCTCCCCCCTGCACTGAGAAGAGGGAGGGGAAAAGGGGAAAAAGAGGCTCTTCTCACAGACTCATGCTGTTGACGGCTGGCTCCGGCCAAGACTCTCTCCCCCTCATCAACAGGCACAAGCCACTGCCAGCATGGGAGGAGAGGAGGGAAGGGGCGGCCTCCTCCCCCAAAGGTTTCTCTGCAGATGGGCCAAGCCTCTCCGATGAAATCCAAATTGCAAATGACACCAAGCTGAGTGTTGCAGCTGACAAACCTGAAGGATGGGATGCCATCCAGACCTGGACAATCTTGAGAAGTGGACCCATGGGAATCCCGTGAGGTTTAATAAGACAAATAATGTCCTGTATCTGGGTCAAGGCAATCCCTGATATCAATATAAGCTTGGAGATGAATAGATCAAGAGCAGCCCTGCCAAGAAGGAATAGGGAGTGCTGGTGGATGAGAGGCTGGGCATGAGCCAGCCCTATGCTCTTGCAGCCCAGAAAACCAATTGTATCCTGGGCTGCATCAAAGGAAGTGTGTCCAGCAGGGTGATTCTGCTCCTCT